ACCTTAACTGTCCAGTTTGTAGAGCCAGCATAGCGTTTGTTTGATTTTACCTGCATAATCCAACTTAAGTTTCACCTATGAGTTTACTTGAATTGCAGCCTCTGTGCTGAAAGACATTTTACTAGAAAACGTGCTTACATCTTCAGGGACATCCTCAGGACTATCAAAAACAGCATCAAGTGGGTAAACTTTCGTGATTTCCATCAGAGAACCATCTGGCAGCCTGAAAAGAAGAATCATAGTTAGAAGGGGAATTAAATAGACAAACTGGAAAGTATAAAATCTGCAATGCTTACACACGAGATTCGTCAAATTTCCCACGACGCAAACTTGTCTCAAAAATATTCAGTGCCTAGAAATGCCAGAGAAAGAAAGAATTTTTAAAACCTGAAGACTCTTGCAATCATTAATTAACAACAAAGACAAATAATACGTACAGGCACCCATGTTCCGACGAGGATTTCAGCACCAGCAGCTGCAAGAGATTTTGCTATTGCCCATCCATATCCATTGTCATCAGCTACACCAGCTATGAATGCTCTCTTTCCTGCAGGTAATGGTGTTTATATGTGAGATGGTCCCTGATAATGTATAGGTATTTAGGGGCAAATTACTACTTGTAACACGCATCTCTGTTGCTTGAAGATGCCATGTCACCATTTCCTGATACCTTAGACGGGCTTTAATTGCACTATCCAAACCTCAGAAAAATATATCGCAGGTCAATGCTTGCGTTGCAGTTTTCCAGATTTTACTGGAATCTTCAACCAAAAAATTAAGTTTTTTATTTTTTGTTAATTGAAAACTACCTTCAAAGACTATTATTATCATGAAGCAACCTAATAACCTATTTAATGTTCCTGACATTTGCATTTGAATCTACTTCACATCCCACCTGTAGGTCCCTATAATTTTAACACAAAGATTAACATTTTGAGATGGAAATATGCAATCTCTCTGATAGAAGGTAAGCATCTGCTGATTTACAAGCCTTGGGTGGCATACTCGGATCATAAATAAGTATAAACCATGACACATAGCTAATTCTAAGACTAAACTTTGTCAGGAAATTTCCATTTCAGAAAACATAATGATGTCAACTATGCAGCAGCACTAGTTAGTCAGATGAACAAGCACCTGAACATGGGTAGGAAAGTAAACTACACAGAAAATAAGAAATGCAATGTGAATATTGCAGACTAATACTTGCATGTGGCCAAAATTACCTACACAGGAAAGCTTCACAGATAAAATTAGGTTTACTTTTACCAAAAAAAAAAGGAAGCTGATGATAGAGAAACATGTAAATGTCCAACCTCTCAAGTCAATTGACAGCCCTGGTAGAGGCTCTTTATCACTTGTTGCAGACATCGCTTTTGTAACAATTCTCTGACATTTCAGGGGACTGGAATTAAGCTTTTGGTGGAAAGGCCATGTTGATGAGATGTGAGATGTGCACTTGAGCTTTGTCCAAGACTCGCCTTTAGTTTCATTACCAAAATTTGCAATGCTTGACTTCAAAATTCTTTGAGATGCAGAAATGAAGGGCTTTGGAACTGCAATTTGAGAGCCAGCAGTTGTATTTGCAGCCATTCCCCTTAGACTGATTTACCAAACTCAAGATTCTGCAAGAGACACTAAAATCAGAAAACTAGAAGTTTCCTTCAGCCACCAAAGTGTACATGTAGATTATCCAGTTCTAGTTATGAACAAACAAAGCATCTTTTCTTTTGAAAATTCATGTGTTAGACAGCATAGAGAGGGAGCAATCAAACCCCCCCCCCCTCCACAAAAAAAAATGCCTGAAGGCAAAGAAAATGCAGTTACTCTAGTCGAGCACAGTTCTATGAGTCTATAGTCGAGCATGGTGCTCTGAGTCTATCCATCTTTTCCTAGGCGTTACATAAATCACCCTTGTCTCACACTTTTACTCTGTTTCACATTTGTCATTTCTGCTTTCAAATCTTAATCCAGCAGATGACGAAAGGAACAACCTTTATACGAAACTATCTTATTTCAGATCAGAATCACATAAGTTCTCTAGACAAATTCTTAGTCCAAAAAAAAAGAAGGGAAAAATGTCAAAGATACAATTAAATTTCAATTACTACCAAAGTTCCACTATCTTCAACTTGCAAGTGAATTTTCATGTTCAATTCTGACCTTTACTAATCCCTTCTTGCACATAAAAAGGTCGGTCAAACAAACTTATGACTCAAATATTCAAACACTCCCAACCAAAGTTTTCCTTTTTCTCCACAAAGAGAAAAGAGGAAAAAAAATTAAGATCCCCTGGAAAAGCAAAAAAAATCATTCCAACACCTCATTTTCCTCACAATTCTAGCTTCCAAGTTTATATGGCATATCACCCTGCGAGACCAAATCTCGAAAACAGAAATAACAAAAAATCTTCAAATCAAGAAATTATCTTTTATGGAACCAGCAAGACAATGTGAGCATTAAATCATGCACAAATATACAAAAAAGGAAAAAAAAACAATAAATGAACCTGAAATCAGCATGCACTTACATAAACCCTTGAAAGATCTTAGCAAGAACCATAAAAAAATCTATCCAAAAACAAACCCCTTTCAGGAAAAAGCCTAAATGAAACCCCATTTGGATCAACATTACGTGAACGCAGCATTGTGGAAGAAGGGATCAGAGAGAAACTCACCTTGATGGAAGGAGGGCAGACGATAAAAACAAAGAAAGCGTGAGTGATTGTGAGAAGGAGAGTGCCAAAGAAACGTGAATGGGGCAGCGCCGTATTTATTGCGGGGGCTTTCGATGAAATCGAAGTTTGGCAATGGCAGCGTAGTCCGTAAATTGTAGCAATGACTAATGAGGCTGCTGAGCTGAGGTTGGTTTAACCGTTGTTTTGGCGAAGCTTTGAAAGTGCCGAAAAGGAGACTCTGAGAGTTCTTGGCTGCCCTGTTATGAATTGACTGTATTGTCCCTTTTTTTTTTTTTTTGGCCCCCCTCTCTTTTCTTTTTTTTTTTTCACTTAGAAATATCCCAATCTTTCCTATCAGAATAATATCTTAAGGCAGTATAGAGTCTTGCTCCAATGATACACAATGAAATAGTATACGGGAGTTGATCACAGGATCATATAGAACCGTGCTCCAATGATAAGCAATGAAATAGTACACGAGAATCGATCACATAATTTATTGATAAAAATTAAACTACGAAACGAGTCGAATTATGAATTTTTTCCCCTCTCTCTTACTTTTCATTTTCTTTTCTTTCTTTTGTTTATCAACACACCTGCTTTGCACGTGATATAACTTGTGATTGTGAGGAACAAAAAATTATTAGGATCCTCCTTGCGAACTTACTCACAAGACTTGCAATTCATGAAGAATCTAAAGTCATAATTTATGTGAAGAAGTGATGCTTCTTCTAACGTAGCGATAGCAATGTTTTATGCGGTGTCCGCTGAAGGCGCTATTTGCACTCTCACAGCCACAGGCGCTGTTACAATCATCGAAGGGTGCTAGTCACTATTCCCTTCTCTAAAATCTACAGATACCCTCCACACTTCACTCATTCAATGTAATCAACAACTCCACACACTCTCGCTCTAGGTTATGAATGATTTGTACTAATTTAATCATTAGAATTATTCTGGAATAACAAGATCCTAGCTCTCTCTCTATATTGTCATTCGGTACTTGCAAGTCATTGAGTAGCAGTTCCTCACTCAACAACTCGCATCCGACCTGCTCGATTCGGCTACATGCCTGGATTTTTTGCTTCTCCATTTTACACGAAGAGTTGCGCTAGATTTATGAGTAAAGAATTATATCCTATATTAATTCAAAGATGGAAAAAGAGTAATTAATATATAAATAATGATGGATTTTGCAGGATAAAAAACGAGCGATTAATATATAAATATGAATCCAAAACTCAACGATTTAAACTTTTTGTTAATATTGGATTCCTAACTTACATATATTGAACTCTTTGGTGAACTCTCTCATGGTGTGTTTTCTTTGTAACAAGTGATATCGGAACTTCTGCTTGCGAGACTAAGATACTCAGTGATAAGTGGATGATTATCAAAGATGGACCTATGAAATTCTCTTCTTAGTGATGGATTAAAATGTCAAGGAGATTTATTGGTGTTTATACTAGGTGCACTGTGGATTTGGTAGAAAATTCGGCTGATATTAGACCAAAGAATCGAGTGCTTGACTGAAATGTTAAGGAGTTTGGCTGGTATTGGATCATATGCATCATAAATCTAACAAGGAATCCGATTAGTATTAGACCATATATGCATCCTATTTAGTATTTTAAAAAGGGTTAATTACATCTATCTCTCTCTCTTGCTTTGATCAAACTACAACAAGACCTCCTAAAGTTTGAAATATAACAATCACTTTCCTTTGACTTCGAATAAATATAACAAATTACCAATCCCGTTAGTTTACTAACATTTGTTTATCTTAATCAAGCCAAAAAATACCAAAAAAAGTCAAAAATTACCCCTTCAAACCAAAAAATACTAAGGTGTCCAAAATAATAGCAAGGTCATCAAAATGAAATGGGGGAGAGTAGTGCATTTAGTAGGTCATAATGATTGTTATTTCACTTAATTATCTAATAATAAGGATATTTTAAAAAATTTAAAACTTAACCATATCCTTCAATTAGAAAGTGAACTATAATTTAAAACTGATAGAAAAGGAAAACAACAAACATCTTTGTTTGGATACCTCATTTGTTTAAATAATGGCCATGTTTGGACTGAATTATTTGTGTGGACATGAAATATTTTGTGGAGTTGGTGTTTGGACTGACGGAATATTTTCCACAATTCAGCATTCCACATTTTATTTTGTAGTTAGCCTTGTCAGCAAGGGCTGGGTCCTTTCATGTGCAGGGTCACCATGCACTACGACGCGTGGCACCCATGTTTCAGAATCAGATTTTTTAGCCGTTGGGGTCCTCCATTACTTTACCCATCTACGCCATTTACTGTCGGTCTCTTGTTCCGTTGCTGAACATTTACTCAAAGAGCACTGTGCGATCTGAAGCCGATCTCATTTCAAATTATTCCCACTTCCTGAAGCACAACTGCAGCAGCTCCTTAACCACCTGATTTCCTTTTATCCTTTAACCCGCCACATAGCAGCTAAGGCTCTTCCGACAATTAGTAGCGGCGCAGTTCCACGCCCATCTTGGAAGTGCAAACCCGAGCCGATCCGGGAGCTTGTGTCAGGTACCATCAAAAGGGTTGAAACTGATGTGAACAAATTAAACCCAGCTTTTTGACTGCTTGAAGTGGACAACCATGTCTATATGGCTTAGTTCTTTCTTTCTCGTTATTCTCTTGAAATCCTGAAGCTGCACCTGATTTCCGTTTATACCTGTTTGTGCTTAAAACCACCAATTTTGACTCGAAATTGGAGAGAGGTTTCTGTGTGGCTGGCCTTCGATTTTAGGGGAAATACGAAAATGGCCTCTTTTGTCACAATTAATTTGAGAAACATCTTCCCAGTTGCCATGAATTTCCGTAGGACCAATTTTTAGGGATTTGCTCTGTTGTTTGAATGTGGCCTTGTTGTGCAGCTTTAAATTGAACAAATCCAGGCATGAACTCTGTAAAGGATTTAGTCATTGGGTCCCAGTCTAGCCAGATAAGTAGGTAAAAGGTACTTAACTATTATATTCTGTCAACACTCTTGCTCAGACAGTCAGCTATTTGTCTTTCTGTTGAGCCTTGACCTGGGAAAAGGCCTTTCAAATGCCAAAAAGTTTAGATGGAAGTGGTACAAATTAATCAATTTAAAACTTGGAAGTTCTACATAGATGACAGAGTAATGTTTGCAGTATCATTTTTCTACTAGGTAATTGCAACTTAAACTTGAAAAAGCTCGTAATTCTTAAATCTAACCATTGAATCAAGAATACAAATTTCATAAATAGAAACGCAACAGGAAGACCAGTTACTGATACTTGAAAATGTTAATTGTGTCTTTCAGATTAAAGTTATGTTTTATTTGACCATGATACTTAAATTATTTTGTTGAAATGAAGAATTCAATTTATTTAGTAACACTGGATACTGTTTTTGATTACTCACAAGAACTGGAAATTCTGTTTTTGTCTGGCGGTGTCATCTCTTAGAAAAATGCGTTGTTTTAAAAGGCCTAAAATACTGGAAAGGTGAAGCCATTGTTTTGGCTCATTTAACTGTTGTCACACTTGTTAGAGGTATTTGGATCGCATAGATCTGTTAACAACTAATGCTTATGGTAGAGGTTGCAGGTTTGATGCATAGAGTGTTTAAGCTGTTTGCCAATTGCATAAATTCGAAAGACCCAAAAGCAGTCAGTGCGAGATCCCACTGGTTTAGTATCATTTTAGCTAAAAAGTCTCACACCTAGACTTATCTAGCCTGTACTCCGAAAGGCATAATCAATGAGAAAGCTTGTACTGTTGAAATAAAAGTAGAACGGAAGTTTGTATTCAGATGGGCTCTCTTAGAAATTGATAATGTGCTAGAGATGCTTGTGGAGTTGCTGTTCATGAAAGATGTCATTATTCTTACTTAAGAAGTTTTTCATCTTCATTTTGTCTGCTGGTGCATATTTTGCTTATGATCCATGATTTAATCCAAATGAAGCATCAGCTAGAATTGTGAAAAAGTATACTTGTTTTTGGTTTTTAATGGCTATGCATAGTTTAACACCCTTGGAATTTCAAAGTTTATAACTGATGCAACCAAAGCATCCTTAGCAGTGAAATAGAACCTGCTTGATATTGCTTGATATTGCATTACTTTGAAATACCAACATTTTGACGCTTCGAGTGCTTAAGTGCCATTTGCCTGACAGCGCAACTGGATATACATTTTTTTTCTTTCTTGGTTTTTCATGAATATGCATTCTACTTGGTATTAGGTTGTCTCAAACACCTAAACTTGTAAAGCTACTCTTCTCTAGCACAGATACGTTGCAGAAATTCTATGCAAATTAATTTTCTGTTGTAGAGTAGAGAACCATTTTATCTGCTTCATTCCAGAGAACCATTTTTTTTAAGTTTCTTATAAACCAATAACTGTTGCCTGCCCTGTAATCTCATGCACCGGATTTAACATTCGTCTGCTGTGTTATCGAAATATACATAGCGATGTTAATATTTTGCTTGAGATGGTTCCAGATGGCGGGGCAAAAGAGAAAGAAAAAATCTCTGTAAGTACAATCATATCATGTTGCAGTATGATTATATACATTAATTATGATAATGTAATATGTTTTTCAAATCATTAGACCTGGAATATGTCTAATGCAAAGACTCATTGGTCAAATATGCCTTTTTTTCCTTTCCATTTCCATATGTTAGTGTAGAGATATCCAACTATATTGTGGCTTTCTACTTTTGAACATTTCTGCTACTCTAGCTTCACATAGTACCACTCATCCATCTAGAATTTGGCGTTAATTCCTCTTTTCTCCAGATAATCCTGTGCTACTTGCAATCCAGTGGAACATTTTCAACAGTCCTCAACTTGTCCAAAATGTTTGGATATATTTGTCCAACAGCTTTTGTTTGATATCCCTCTTCTTTCACCAATTTCGGCTTTCCTCTTCTCAGAATAGTATGTGTTGTTGCTATATTAAGTTGTAGAAGATGGTACGTACTTCGTTTTCTGTTGTAAAAGATAGTACAAAAGAAAAAAGGCCTAATATTCTTGTTTAGTAAGTAATTGTACTATATTATACTCGAGAAGATACTACTATATATTTCAGTTACTTTCTTCCAGATGAGAATGGAGGATAATGACAGTTGTTTTGGCCTTAGTATATTGTTTTGGCCAACTTGAAAAATTTGGGGCTATATATGCGCTAAATATCTGTGCTTTTTCGACACATTTTCGAATTATGGAGATACTTCAACTATTCCTGTCTCATGAAATTTGTTTGTATGTACAAATTCGTTTGTAGCCGAATATGTTTCCACTTTAGTACTTGTCCAGAGACTTGTATGAGTTGGGGGAAAAAATCTGCGTTGTTATGCTGACAGTTATGCTCCACATGGCAGTTCTTATATTCCGGTTATTTGTTGTACTTGTAGAGTTAACAAATCAGCGTGCATTAACCCAGAACAATAGAAGGACGTTTCATTTGACAGTTGGCTTCCAAAATTTTTCCCTACGTTTTAACTAAGGCCATGACGGAGACTGATAGAGATGCCCCTCAACTCACAGCAGCAGTGTAATAGTCAGTGTAAGGCATACTTAAGTTTTTCCTGGCCCTGAATACAGTACTGCATTATGTGATTATGTGACTCACGTCAGTTTTCTGCATGTTTTCTGTCTTTAGCTCCTCCCATCAGCTGCACCTCCAATTGCACAGTCCAATCATCCACTGACTCCAACGATATTGAAGAGTGCATCAGTAACTTTGAAGCAAGCCGTATGGTATACATTTGCCTCACCTCAAAATATTTACTATCATGTATATTTGCATGCCTACTAACTTGCACTTGCAATTTTACAATAGGCGATGGGAGGTAAGTTCGAGTGGACTCCTGAAATGGATGAGCACTTCATTGATGCGTACATCGCCTTCAAGCTGTCAAAAAAATGGGACAAGCGTAAATCACTTGAATGGAATTATGGTCAGATAGCCGAGCATTTGCGTGAAAACCATGGAGATGAAGTCAGTGCTGCGCAGTGCCAATCTAGATTCTACCGGTTCAAGAAGAAATGGCAACTTTTTTGCCAGCTTCGGGGGCTCAGCAACAAGGCTGCAACTGGCATCGGATGGGAAGAGGACACCCAGCATTTCACTGCTGACAAGGACCATTGGGCCGATCTCATTTCGGTTAGTTTTTTCATTTATTGTGAGTCGAATCTGACCAGTTTGCTTATGCATATATACAAGCTAGAAACGTGACAAATCACTTATCCCTTGTGTCTTTTAACCAACAGTCCAACAGCGAGTATGAGGACTTTTCTAAGCCATTTAGTTGCGGCTTATACGAGCGATTCACTCCTATCATGATTGGGGAAACGGCTACAGGGACACGAGCACAGTCTGCTAGCCAGCCAGAAATTTCCCTTGAGCAACTCGGAAACGAGCAAACCACCTCTAGAAGGAGTCGGAAAGGCAAGGCGAAAGCCTCAGTGTCGTCGCAACCGCCTTCGGCCACCTCCCCTTGGGAAGGGGAGGACGTGTACTACGTGCCCCCTATTCCGGGAGGCAGTAGTGGGAAGCGACCAGCAAGCAGTTTGGGTAACTCCGGCGAGCGAGAGGGTTCCAGAGGCACAAAATCTACCCGATCATCTGCGGACAGACTTGAAGACGCCTTAAGCAAGATCGGCAACTTCACAGACGTGGCGAGAACTGATCGAAAGGATCGTATAGACAGAGAAGAGACGTACAAAGTCGAAAATTGTCAAGACATCGTCTCAGCCATGGATATCCCCGTTGATTGGAAGATAGAAATAGACTCGTATCTGGCCGAAGATGAAAATTTAGGCCAACGGATTATCTTCATGCGCTATGACGCTGCTGGAAGATATGCATATGTCGCAAGGCATATGAGGAAGAAAGGTGAAGCATAATTTGAAATAGTCTATTCCACCACAACAGAAGAGTTGCCGTCTCAAATCCGTTTCTGCTATCTCACACCGGCAAAGGTTGTGTTATAGGGGGATAAATATATCCCAGATCTTAGTTGGCTGTGGTTTGAATAAGAGTTTGGAGTGATGCGTGTGGAGTTGCTCCCTTTTTTCCAGTTTGGTGGAGTCCATTTTTTTTTCCAGCCTTCGGGACTTGCCTGTACCCGCTAAGAACTATAAGCTTGAGTTATTTTCCTGTTTACAAATACATTTGTTGCACTGTATGTGTAAAATGAGTTTGCTCGAAATTAGTTTTTTTCATTTTTGTTGTGTGAGATTTTGTTGCTAGTTCTTAATTGTTACTTATATTGCATAATGGCTATTTACCATATGAGGTTGGTGAAAATATGAATGGTTGATTGTTGGCTTAACTTTCATAGCTCACTTAACTTATTTGTTGCGGACAGGAAGTTGCAGCCTTCGTATATGGCTTTTCCTTGAATTTTGCCTTGGATGATTTACTCCAGCAGGTTTACTTGAGCAGGATACTTATTGTTGGGTGAAATACACAAATGAGAAACTAAAAATTAGTTGTGCTTATGGCATAGTCATAGGTTACTTGATATAATGCAAGTGCCTCCTTATAGATCTCCTGCACATCCTTCTTACTTTCTTCAAGCTCTGCTGCTTCATACAGTAACTGCAATCGCATAGTTCTTTCAACCAAGTAATTTTTCTCTTTACCACAAATGTAAATAAACTACAAAGATGAAAAATGACCCGCTTGTATTTCTTGATTACGTCATCAGCAGCATCATTCCTAGATTCATCATCCTTACTTTGTTCTCTTTTACTTTGTTCTCTTTTACACCGTAATCAATCATTTACTTTGTTCTCTTTTAACAAATGTGCTCAAGTACTTTGTACCTGCTACCACTCATGCAGCCTTCAGGGAAAAGTCTCAAGTTGTACAACCGGGCATCACTGGAATAAAGAAATTTGTTGAAAAAGAGAACTCAAAAGGGGGTGTGGTAATCTGAAAAAAGTCAGGTGAGGTAAGGTGAATTGAACAGAGTGAGCATTAGATCAAAAAAGTAAGATTGGACAGCATCAAGACAAGTTGTCCTAGCAGTCTACATAGCCTTCACGGAGGAACCTGCTGAACCACAGTGCGAAGTGAGAGGCAAAGCCTTAAGCGCAGTGCTGTATGTACAGCCGGAGGATCGTACAGCTTGCTCTACTCCATGCAATAGAAAGGGTTCACGGGCTATTACTCTGGTTCTCTTCTTACCAGGGTCACCGATAATTGTGTCCACAGAATTATTTGTCTACACATTGTACAGGAGTCGATAATAGATTATCAGGCTTTTAAAAAAGATGGTAGCCTTTCGAAAAAGATAGTAGCATTTTTGAAAATGAGTTCATTGTTGCATGTGAATTTGCCGGTGCATAGCTTTGCTCGTATTCTGATTGCGCCTTATATGTAGTTCTCCTTATGGGTGGAGTCGTGCAGTTGTCACAAAACTCTAGCTTCTTTCTATTGGCGTCCCAGACGAACGTGTTTTTCATAAGCATAAAGATACATTTATGCCACCGAGTACTTGAAGGTAATCGTTTCCCTTGCTCATTGTCTGTAAAAAATAATTGATTCTTATTTAGCAGTTTATAGTTACTCTCTTTATCTTTAGAGGCATTTGTACTATGGCGGCCAACAATAGGAGGACGGCCAGAGGACGGAGAGAACAAATAGCTGAAGAAGATGAAAGGGATGAGACAATGTTGGTTTTGGCAGCAGAATTAATGATGCTGCATCGTGACCGAGCTAGGGATAAAATACCTCACCACGACGACTCTCTAACCGGACGGCAGTGGGTTGAAGAGGTGATCAATGGGCATTACCGACGAAGTATGGAAAACATGTGTATCACAGTTGACAATTTTCTTCGTTTATGTGAAATACTCCAGAATAACGGTTATGTATCTCGATCCTATCAACAAAGGGTTGAGATAGAGGAAGCCTTAGCAATGACTCTAGTCATGGTAAGTCATAAGCATACTCAGCGCGTGCTAGCGGAACGATTCAACCGGTCAACGGAGACAATTAATCGAAACGTACACAAACTGCTCAAGGGCCTATGCAGATTTGCCGCCACAATAATAAGACCGTATGACCACGATAATGTTCACCCAAGAATTGCAAACTCAAGACACTTTTATCCATGGTTCCAGGTAATATCCTATAATTTAGTCTACAATCATACAGCCTTACGAATTTGCTCTGCTAGAGGACTTAACCATTTCTAGACGATTATTAATTCTTGACAGGGTGCTGTTGGAGCTCTAGATGGCACACATATTCCGGCTTGCCCGCCAAATGGAGAGCAGATGGCATATACCAATCGACATGGGATACACTCACAAAATGTCCTGGCAGTCTGCGATTTTGACATGCGATTCAACTACGTATACGCTGGATGGGAAGGCAGTGCCCACGATGCACGGGTGTTAGAATCTGCGTTGATGCCGCCATCAGATTTTCCAATTCCGCCGGCAGGTACAAAATTACTTACTACTTGGCATTTCACACACGTAAAATACACAAAGTCACTGCTACTAATTCTCCATCCTTGCTCCCTTGCATGTTTTGAGAACTATAGGGAAGTACTACTTGGTAGATGCAGCATACAGAAACACTCCGGGTTTCTTACCACCCTACAAGAATGTTCAGCAACGAGATCCAGCCAAGCGGTTGTTTAACACCCGACATTCGAGTCTTAGAAATGTTATAGAGCGTACGTTTGGAGTATTGAAAATGAGATTCAAATTCCTCAAGGGCCCAGTACCCAATTATTATATGACCACACAGATTAGTGTGGTAATTGCATGCTGTGGGCTACATAATTTTTTGAGAATGTTCCAACCCGGAGATGCCCATTTCCAAAGGTTTGAGGATGAAAATATTCAATTAGAGGTGCAACCCAACTTCGGCGAAAGGGTGCATATGCAGACTCCAAACGCTTCTCGGGCAGAGATAGAAGCATGGAAAGCAACACGCGATGCAATGGCGGACCAAATGTATGCAGCCCAAGGACGCCGCAGGCGATAGATGACGAGCTTCAATAGTAGTCAAAGTATCACATACATCTTTTATCAACTGCTGCCATCGTAGATGGAATAAAGGTCTATCACCAGACTTAGTGTACTGAGAATCGTGTCAGAGGAACTTCAATGTCTAACATCTATGTCATAATGGTGGACTCTTGTATTACCTTTGTTTAAAAAAAGATAAATAAAAGTTGTAGTTATCCAAACAATTATTTCATGTCATATTTCGCTGTCCAAACAATTATTTGGAAGTTTCATTATTCACAAAAGTCAAATTTGAATATTTCAAATAATATTTCAAATAACACACTATCCAAACACCACCAATATTTTGCTTGCATCATAAATATATTTTTTAATTTATTTTTTTTATATTTTTAATTATATTTTTATCTCATATATATTATATTATAAAAAATATTACAGTAATTATTTCAAATAATACTCTGTACAAACGAACTCGAGTGGGGCGCCAGTACTAGCGTTAACTCACTTAATATCAAGTAGTACATTTTTAAGTCAACATGATGATTGTTAACTCACTTAAATAATAACTATAGTACGTGAGAGCAGCGCTACTAGTACTAGCGTCTTTTCCTAATAATCTTATATCTATGTAAGAGTAGCACTACTGGTACTAGCGTTTAAATATCTCTGCTGCAAATCGTTATTTCTTTTGTTTTGCTCACTCTTTCTCCGAGGAGGCAGCCCTCTTTCCTTCCCCGCCTCTAATCATCTCTCTCTCTCGCGCTCTCTCCCTCCCCTGTAGAGCCTCTGCAAAAACCCATGGACAGTTAGGGTTAGGGTTTTGCAATTATTCTTTTTCTTTTTTTTTTTGGCTACCTGCTATCCCTTCTTAGCTTAGGAGATTTACTTCAATTTTCTCCCTGTTTTGTTTTTTTTTTAAGGAGTTTTGTTAGAGTTTTAGTTACTTGAAGGTTCGTTGCTGTCTTTGCTGATTTAACACTCTCTGGATCTGAGTTTGGGGAGCTATGGATATTCGGAAGAGAAACAGGACAGACTCCAATCTCAACGCCAATGGCGGCTTCAAGAAATCTAAGCCAGGTTGAATTTCTCTACAATTTTTAGTTTTATGCTGTTTTTCTTTTATTGAATTGTACCTGGCTGTTTGCTTTTTTTTTTTAACTTATAATGACTAAAATTGCTTTCTTGGTTGATATTGCATTCATGATTTATTGGATTTTCAGTTTGTTTTTGTTTTGGTTTTGGCTCTTATATATGTTAAAATTGTGCTGATTCATGAAGATGTGCCTGATTTAGGACACTTAAAGTTGCTTTATATCCTAAAATCTTTAAAATTTTCACTCATATCGTTGTAAAATTTACGCTTTGCTCCCAAGCCTTTAAGAAAAATGAAAGGCTGCCCTTACTCTTGCCCCCGAGATCTCAACCTCTCGTTCCAGACTCCAAAGTACTAGTTGCTTTCTTCTTTTTTGCCTTTTTGTCAATTATACAAATTTTTTTTGTACCACACTTTTTTTTGGGTGTATGATACTTGTGTTGTGTGTGGCCTGTGAAGCAAGAGTAAATTACCTGTTGGATCCTGATTACTTGTCCTGCACTGGGTTTCAGAAGATAAGAATGGTCCTTTTTGGTAAAATGGGAAGAAAATGGAGACTGTAAAATTTGTCACGTTGGAACTTTTGGTTAAAATATGGATATATCTTTAAAGACTGGAGAATTGACCTGTTGTGCACATCTGTGTCTGAGCACTTTTATTGTTGTACATTTCTGTTGTCAGGAGTTTGTCGTTAGGGCTGCAAACGAATCGAGCCGCTCGCGAGCGGCTCGAGTCAAGCTCGAGTCGAGCTCGAGATTAATCGAGCTCGAGTCGAGCTCGAGCCAGCTCGAGTCAAACTCGAGCTCGAACTCGAGCTCAGAATATTAAGCTCGTTAGCTCGCGAGCCGGCTCGCGAGCTTGAGTATATATATTTATATATATTTTTTATTTTTATTTAATAATAAAATTACGTATATTATATATAAATATATTTTAATTTTTTATTTTCATAGTGAAATTACGTATATATCCTTAATATTTTATTATTTATTCAGAAAAAATTATTATTTTTTTTATTTTTTTAAAAATAAAATAATTTTTTTTTATTTTTTTCGAGCTCGAGCTCGAACTCGAGCTCGGCTCGACTTGATTCGAGTCGAGCTCGAGCTCGAAAATTGCCAGCTCGTCGAGCTCGAGCTCGAGCTCGAGCTTGGTAAAATTTAGTCGAGGCTCGGCTCGATTAGCTCAAAACTCGACTCGGCTCGGCTCGTTTGCAGCCCTATTTGTCGTCTTTCCTTTTTAGTTGGTGGATTTTAATAGTGATCCTTGTTGTTTAGCAAATATGTCAACAGTCCATTACTAAGAAAAATGTAGGTGTAATCTATTGAAAATGAAGAGTACAAAAACTTTGCTTGCACATAGCTTGAACTCGCAATAGTATATAAAATTTTTTTAGCTTTACGAGTACTATTTTTGCTTGTCAGAAGCTTATAACAATCTGTTGCGGGTAAGAAGGTCGTAATAGTTGTACTTTTCTTTTTGTTGGTAACAAGCTGATATCATATTTGTTAGATGATACATAATCAATTTCAAGAATCGATTAAATTCTAACTGGAAAAAAGTAATTAATGTTTGCAACAGAAATGGACTCCTTATCAAGTGGTATAGGAAGCAAATCGAAGCCTTGCACGAAGTTTTTCAGGTTCAAATCTTTACTTGCCTAAAACTTGTAAATTTTCTGTCAACAGTTAATAGTCATAAATTTAATACCTACTCTTGATATTGCAAGTATTAAAAACTATAGATGTGCTGGCAGAGTGGTGAATTGTGTACAAAATGTATTGGCTTATTGATCTTGGTATTGGTATTCTCTTTGGCTCTTTGTAAACTGTCAATCAAATTTCAGAGGAGAAGATGCTGTATTAGCAATTAACTGTGAGGTGAATCATTTGCCTGCTGATGTTGAACATTTTTGTGGGCTATTAGGTGGCAGATGAAATCAGCGCTATATAAGAAGTTTTTGGGTGAAGTACAATAAAAACCAGTGCTTATGCGAGCAAAATAATATTATCTAGAATATTTCCTAGGCCTAATAATCCTTCCTAATGGAGATCGTAATAGCAGCAGTGGTTTCAATGTTTTTGGTTCTTGTATTGTGAAGGTACAATACAATTATATAATATTTATGTGCTATTTTCAATGTTGTTGGCTCTCTGATCAGTAAATAAAGTTGAACACAACCGTTGCAATATTGTATTAATCTTTATACAGTTCTATAATATTTAAGTACTATTTTTTATGTGACTTCAAACAATTTACTGTTTGTGGTTGAAAGCAGCCCCCGCCTGATATAGGATTTGTTGCTTCAGTGTATGCAACATCTTTTCAACACGTGGCCTGAAAATCCTGAAAAGCTTGGGGGTCATTGAACATGTTACATTATGTTCCTTTTATTCCTGTTTGATAGCTGCTAGCTTGAGTTTTACAAGTTTTTGAGATTAAATTAAAGTTTGGTTGGCCATCAGTTGTTTATATTGAACGACTTTTAGAGTCATCTAGAGTATTTCTTTTGGATATATTTTAATTCTTTAACTTTGAAACAGTATGTTTTCAACAAGTCTGCTTTTGATTATATAAATGTGGTTGAAGTTGCGAATTTGTATGGGTTTGTGGTGGTTCTATAACAAATGTGACACAGAGAGTTTGCAAGCACTTTATGATCTTACCATTGGCTAGCAGCCCTGTAGGCAATCACGTGGTCCTAGGCGTATCATATACAGTCTTACGGTCATCAGGGCTCAAATAGATGTTAAATTTACATTTGAGAATCTAAACCATTGGGAGATATTTTCCATAAATTAATCTGCGAAACAAATGTAAAATATTGTACACAGGGCTATCTATTTTCCCCCTGTAACCTTTTTTCAGAACATTGTTTTTGTAAGTAGTAAAATTTACACTGGTTTTTCCTGGTACAGATCTCGGGTCAAAGGAAAAGGTTTATGATGTTTTTCTGCTTATTGAATGTTAGTTGATACTAACATTGAATGTCGCAGACACATTTTTGCAGAACAATCATTTAACTTGTGTAGAGATGTAAAATATTTCAAATTTTTGTCTGAAAGTGAGGCCTAATTAATTACTCTCGGTTCTTGTCCGCCATTTAATTGTCTTGACGAGCAGTGACTAGTAATGGAAAATGCTTCACGTGAAACTGAAAAACTTGGATATTGATGATGATGCCTTTAGTGTATCTTGTGTAGTGGCTTTTTTTATTGTTTAGCCTGTGGTCTTGATTCTGGAATGTTTTACTCATCAATAACAAACATTTAGCACCATTAACAAGTCTCTGAAGGCTTCTCTAGTGCTTCATTTCAAACATCAGCGTTAATAGAAATAAAGAAATTCATAGGCCTTGAGTATAATCATGTTTCTCTGCTGTATTGGGAATTTTACAGATTTTAATCAACCTGGATGGCAAACTTTGTCAATCCTCTTTTCCATATGACCATCCCCATTCTTTGTATGGTGAGATGGGTTTTGCGGTCGGGTGGCAGGGGAAGACTTCTTTTGAATTCTTGACCTCCGTACTCTCAGGACTAAGACGTAACTATACATATGTTTTATGTTTGTCAATCATGATTCTTGGTTTTCATGTCAAATTGTAAATAAAGTGAATACCATCTTTCTGTCTGTTTTTCCTTTATGGATTGCTGCCCTTTCAATTTTAAACTTTTCTGGGTTACCAAATGTATGGTGTCTTTTAATTGTGGCCATTTCAGCATCTATATTCCTGTTTAAGTATAAAATGGCTCTGTAAAGTCAACTTGGTGACTACGAGATCAAATTTTCTTTCAACAATATCTTGGTTTTTCAAACATAATCTATTTCCAAGGAAAATGCTGCCTGACTTATTCTGGTAGTATTTCAGATTTAGACTCTTGTAAGATTTGGCAACAGTTTGATCTGAGTGTTGGATTGTGTTTCTATGTAGCACTGCTGGCTGCCCATTTGGTGAGAGCTGCCATTTCCTTCACCATGTACCTGGTGGCTATAATGCTGTTGCCCAGATGATGAATCTGCCTCCTGCCCCAGGCCCACGAGGTGCAGCAGCACCGACATCTGTACCAAATGGTGCTGGTTCAGCAACAGTTAAAACCAAAATTTGCAACAAATATAATACTGCCGAAGGATGCAAGTTTGGCGATAAGTGTCATTTTGCTCACGGTGATTGGGAGCTTGGCAAGCCTATTGCGCCATCACCACCTCACACAATGAGTGCAATTCCTGGACGATTTGGTGGCCGCATGGAGCCAGTTGTACCTGGACCTGCTGCTAGTTTTGGTGCTTCAGCGACAGCCAAAATTAGTGTGGAAGCTTCCCTAGCTGGAGCCATCATTGGGAAGAGTGGGGTGAACTCCAAGCAGATTTGTCGTCAGACAGGCGTTAAGTTAGCTATTCGAGAGCACGACAGTAATCCAAATCTGAGGAACATTGAGCTCGAAGGTACATTTGAACAAATCCAGCAGGCAAGTGCAATGGTAAGAGAGCTTATTGCCAGCCTTGGACCAGTAGGTGGCCCAGGAAGGGCACCTGCGATTCCTGGAGGCCCTGCCCCTCCAGGGAGCAACTACAAGACCAAACTCTGTGAGAATTTTGCGAAAGGTTCCTGCACCTTTGCGGAGAGGTGTCATTTTGCACATGGAGCAGCTGAGTTGCGCAAATCTGGAGTTTGAGAATTTTTCATTCAGTCTAGTTGATATCCTTTCTCCTGAGTTTGAGTTGTTCGTATGTAGCATCTTCCTAGATTTGCGAGCTAAACCAATATGGGTTAAACAACAAATTTTCTCAGCAGTTTTTCTCCTAGGAATTTGAGCTATCTGGTTTTCGATGCTTTAGCTACTATAATTGTTTTACTATATATCTGATAGATACTATTGAAAGTAGCGAAGGCCGCCAACTACTTTATTTTCTGTTTTTTTTTTTTTTTTGGTTTAACGGTAACAATTTACATTATTTCTATTCCTGTACCATGGGAAAGGGCGAGCCAATTGGACTTGTAAGCGATAGGGGTGCGAACTGTAGATATTGCGTTACTGCGCTCTGTGGTCTCTTGAAGTGCGTAGCCCTTGGTGGTGTCGTATTTGGGCTTGAGAGGTTGCACATCTACAAAGTTCCTGCCTTGGAGCGGGACGTATTAGCCCAGACACCTGATTTCATGGGTTCGACCCCTAATATGGGCGTGTTGCCCATTTAAGTAACCAGCTTGTAGAAATTTGTCGTTGGCCCTTGTTTTCGTTCCTCTTTGGCTCCTTCCCTCATCTCTGCTATCCTCTCTGTTTTCTTTACTGCGTGGCTAGTCTTTTTTTTTTTCCCCCCTGCAATAACAAGTATCTAACATATTCCTACTCTTACACTATTGGACGAGTCTAAAACAAATATGTATGGAAGTTGCAGGGTGAATTTAGTTAAGTGCACTGTTGCACTCTATGAATTTTTTAAGAACGAGAAATTGTGTGATGCACTAGACGGGATTTTAATCCCCGACCTAGTGCACCGGAGAGCTCTTAAAGGACTCTCCTTAAATTAATCATTGGATCAAGACGAATGATTTCACGACGTGGCTAATTAGCTAGAGTCTAATGTAAAGGTAGGGACCCTTTTAGTAAAGCAGAATTTAAAAACATCAGGTGGCGGTTTTAAATTAGTAATAGTTGACAAGAAGTCATCTTTCAGATAAAACATGGGTCCGAATCAAATGCGAATGGTCATTGCAGTCTGCCTTCTTGGCCAAACTTGATTTTTTAACCTTTACTAGTGTTTTTGGATATTAGTTTTTTTTTCTTTTAATTTGAGTGGAATCGATTTCGATCACCATCATGATCCTTCGAAATCATAAATTACTTATAAAAATTATTACAAATCGCTTACAAACACTAACTGCAACGAAATTCAAATATACGATTTTTTTTTTTTGTAAAGAAGTGATAAATCCTTGTCAACTGAGTCGCCAATTTATGTTAACGCGTGAATATTAGTTGATCGTGGAGTCCAGTGATACTCTTCACTTCCCGAAAAAGAGAATAAATTCATTTTTCTAGCCTACAATTTTACCCCATGGTACATAGAACATCTGGATATGCTAAAAGGGTTGCCAAGCTGAAGATGGAGTACGCAAACTAATTTGATTAATGCTTGATGGTCTTTTTTTTTTTTTTTCCTTCCGGTGAAGTAAATCTCGATTAGTTCATCACAAAATGCATGGAGTGGAGGCATCTTCCTCCAGGGATAAAATTCTCCTTTTAACTCGTTGGTTACTTATATTGAAAATAAGGCACTATCCGAAAAGCTGATATAGCCTTTTTTTTTTTTTTTCCGGGGATAAAGACATTGATGAAGAATTCATGATGCATTCGATCAAATGAAAGAGTCTTTATTGAAACTCTATTCTATCAAAAAAGGACTAATAGAAATTCTTATGTCTCAAATCTATCCATGTTGAGGAGAAACTTAACATGGGATGAAAACGAATTACCACGAACATGTAATATCCTCACTTATTACTAAAATTTCCACTCCACGAAAGTCACTCATAGTAATGAACAACTTTACATATATAGATGCTAGAAGTGAACCTACAAATGACATTATCGAAAAAGCAAGCTAAGTAACCTAAGATCAGAAATAGTCGAATACAACAAGTGGACCGTCCAACTTAAAAAGGGTTCCAAGTCCTTATTCAAAGCATGGTTTAAAAGGTCCAATGATCTAATCTAGTCTTGAGTATAAGAACCACCAATGTTAGTAGCCGCACCAACATGGGTGTTATGGGCTGCACTAGTCCTGCCAGTCCCAGCGGCCGTCCCAATGGGGTGGGACTCAACCACGCCTTCGGTAACTTGTCCGGTGCCATGGCCGGGCAAGGCCGACTGCTGATGAGTCCCGGTAGGATGTCCTGGTGCACCCGTGGTGGGATAGGTGTGCGGCTGGCCAGTGTTTTTGGTTGCATTCCTAGCCGCAGCGTTATGCTCCTGAGCCGCACGCTTGTCAAATTCAGCCTGATTCACCCTCTGTTCCTTCCTCTCTGTCGCCATCTCTTTCTCAGTTGGATTATTTGCAGTGGCACGATCAACCTGCTCAGACAATTTAATTCCAATACATGTGCTTCATCCCATTTTCAGAAATTAGCAGAGAAGGGCGTGACACAGGGATTTTATGATCATGCTTTATGGTTTTGGCGTAAAATTGGCATTCAAGAACTAGTAGATGCAAGGAGCCAAGAAAATGGTGCGACATAAGGATCTGGAGTACACTTTTCCAGACATGTTTCAAGTCTTAAAAAAAATTCGGTATTGTTCAGTAAATTGCATGTCAAAATTAAAAATTAATGCTAGGGAAGGGGATAAATAAGTGCAGTATATATAACCTTCTCTTGCATGGTGGCCTTGGTTTTCTCCATTCCGGACTTGGCTGAGGCGGCAACATTGGCTGCTTTCTCCTTGATGGCCTGCATTTTCCACTCTCTCTTTTGCTCTGAAATCTAAATTGGTAGTGTTAATTTGTAAGAAGTTATCTAAGAGAAACTTTGTAAACTGTTTGATTGATGATTTGATTCTTGAACAAGGCGGGCAGGTCCGAGAAAGCGGTTAAATAGATTGTGGAAAGTATGGAGATGAAGACAAGTGTTACTCAAATAAGAGGAACACCTGAATCCAGTTTTCGTGGGGTTTCAAACACGTGTCCACAAGGTGGCATCCTCTCTATTATACGTGGACTGCTGATCGGCAACAGAGGGCAGTTTACCAATCCGCGTAAAGAAAGATAAGGCTTTGTCGGGAATTTTCCCCGAGAAGACAGGGCCACGCCACGTAGCAATAGGATTATGGCATTGCTAATTTTTAGGGCTCCACTGATTTTGAAATGCAGTCACGGTTTGCCTCCCCTAGGGTTGCTAGAGATTCAAGGTGCTCTTGAGTTATTTGTGAGCACCTCGATCGAGTTCGATCAGAATTGAATTTGAGTGCTAGACATTCAAGGTGCTTGTGAGTTATTTGCAAGTAACTTGGTCGAGTTCGATTAAAATCAAATTCGAATCAAGTTTGAATATTTCGTTCTTGAATTTGAGTCAAGTATAGGCTTTAGAAAATGAGGTTCAAGTATTTGACAAACTTATTTGAATAATTAAATTCTTAATTAAAAATAATATATATGTGAAATTTATCACAAAAAAATTGAGTTCGAGTATGACATGACTCGTAAGGATTCTCGAGCTTATTCAAATTGAACTCAAATTTGTAAACTACTTGTTCAGCCGAGTTCAAGTTTAAGAATCTTTACTTAAACCGGAGCTCAAATAGAATTGCAATTATCAAGTTCGAGATCAAACATGATACCACTCGAACTTGAATCGACTCGAATGCACCCCTAACCTCTATCATCAAGGAGTGAAATATAGTTAAGATCACATCTTTAACTTAAAGAAAATGGGTAGTAAATAGCTCAACAGTTTCCAACCTCTAGAGTCTAGGCATTTAGTTTCTTTGAAGTTTGGTGTAGTTTATCACTCTTTCATTTAGAAATTTCGAGTAAATGATTATTTGATTATTTACATTAACAAAAATGTATTTCGAGGAGTTGAGGATGAAAAGGTTATAAATTTTTATCAAAACAGAAAGGCTAATCACGAGCCTTTCCCTCAAAATCCTTAAGTTCAAAGTTTAGACTTACGTACTGTTAATTATTTTAGCTAATTATAGATTCTTAATCTTTCATTTGCTTTTATATCTGAATTATAGATTTTTTTAATAGACAGAAAGCAAAAGTTTATAATCGACCAGAAAAAAAAAAAAAGAAGAGTTTTTGCTGATTCTCGTTATATTATATACTTATCAAAATTTGCAAAAATCTAAACTTAATTCTCGTAAAGTATAATTTTCAATTCAATCTGTTTCACCCGAAAGTAGTCTTCAAATCAACGTGTTCAAACTTAATTACCTACAAATATATTCATGAATGGGTCCGATGAGTGATTTGAGCATGTACCATGAGGAATTCAATTGGTTCGTCTGACCAAGAATATATTATGGTGATGGCTCCGACAGGCAGCCCAAAGTGAACTGGAAATGCGTCCGACACGCATACCTAATTAATTAGTTCTACAATCAGTAACACAGAAAACCAAGTGGGCCATTAATGCAACGTGGAGTTTAATTATTGGTCACATCTCAGCAGCTTGCCTAACTGGTAAGCATTTAACCCTTCAAGTTTATAGCCTACAGAAGAATAGACAGATTACTGAACCGCTGGGCCAATGGCTTAGTGGCAGAGTTTGATTCAAATCTAATTCGGATTGAGTTTGAGCAGTTCGTTTTTGAATTTGAGTCAAGTATAGGCCTTAGAAAATGAGGTTCAAGTATTTGACAAACTTAGGTTTCATTTGATAAAAATGAATATGAATTCTGAAGTCTGAATTCTGAAATCTGAATACTGAAATAATTAATTTGCTGAATTTTAAGTATTGAAAAAAAATATGAATGTCTGAATTTTAATACTAAACCTATTTATATTGTTTGATAAATATTTATAACTGAATGCTTAATAAGTTTAATTTGACAATTTTGCCCTTATATCCTTTCATTCAAAAAGAAATAGAATCTATGATTTAATTAGTTTAAAATTGTTAGGTATGAAAATGACAATATTTATTTTTAAATCAAATTAATATAAAAGATGAAATATGTTATATGAGAAGTATGGAAAAGATGTGAAAGCTATTAAAAAGAGAGAAAAGAGAAATTAAAAATTGTTAGATAGAGAATATTATGTTGTTTAATTAGATAAGAATTTTGAGCATAATTAACAAACAAGGGTAGATTTGGTAGATAAGATAAGATAGTTGAAGTAATTCTATTGATTCTTATTAGAATTAAGCATTCAGTTAGGATTC